GGTGATTTGTCTTGTTTGGGATTTATTAGAAGGTGGCTACACCTTGGTTTCACTCTCTGCTGATTGGTTTGCTGAGATTGCAGCTCATCATTTCTCTGCCTCGTTGCTATCTGTTCCCTAATGCTGAAGAATAATGAATCACATTGATCTTTTTCTTATCCAGAGGTATGTGTTTGGATTTACTGGAGCAACAGAAAATTTGTTCAATTAAACCTTCATTTCTGTGGTTTTTTTCACAGCAAGTTAGAACAATAACTGTATATTTGATTTATAGCTCTCCTCTTCCTTAGCTCCAGTATTTGATTTATCATAATAAGAGAGATAAGAAACATATTTCAGTGCAGATCACAGAGGTTTCTGAGTAGAGCCAGAAAACCTTAAGCACCAGAGCTTTCATACTAGAGGCTCAATTTCGGTCTCTGCATTATCTTAATCTTTTTATTCAACAAATTTTATAGATGTTGACATATGCCTATCTGTCTACAGTTCTTTCAGGAAGAACTAAAATTTCAACGTTTGAGCTACTGAAACCCTGATTGTTTCGGGGAGGAGATTGTATGCCATTGCATGTTTGCCATTTGCATAATGCAAAACCAAGTCTATACTAACTCAAAAGTACTCTATACTGAATACTTACTGGTCATCTGTTTTTCTCTGATTAGATGAAATTCACCAGAAAATGAAAATCTTACTGTATTTTGCATTTAAGAAGCAGATACTAAGACAGAGTTAATGCCAATGCAAGACATTATCCCCAGGCAAGCCAAGTAGCAGATGCACAGTTATGTGGTAACTATCATGCATAGTTTGAATGCACATAATTTGAACCCTTTTATATCTTACCTTTCTCTTCCAGATGACTGAACTGTCACACAGTCTCTGTGGACAGGCACATGCATAGATGCGATTCTTGGGGAGGAGCTGACATTGTAAATTTATCTGTGGGTTATCCAGCACACTGACACTCTGAATATTCAATAATGAAACAGTATCCGTTTCCGTAGAAGTACTCAAATGGAAGTATAAATTGGGATGGTACATGTGAAATCATGCTAACCTGTCAGGATACAGTGTACAAACACACATGAGCAACATGAGGTTTGACAGCATCTCCGCAGGTTTACTGAAGTACTTTTGCAAGAAGTTTTGTGTATCAAAGTACAAGCTTTCTTTGTCAGTCTCTTCTGCTCAATAACTTTGTCACTGCAAAACCACATGGCATTCATTGTGGCAACAAGTGGTGTGAAAAATGAAGTGCTATTGGGAAGAATTAATTAAATGATCATGTCTGGGTTAATCTAAAGTCAAAATATACACATGGGGACAAAGCAATAAGGGGCATGTTAATCCACAGAAATGCAGGAATTTACTTATTACAGAGAAGTCCTTGTATTTCTACCATAGGAAAAAATAAGTCCTTAATGAGAACATCCTTTTTTTGCTGAATGGGTTCCTGCATACATAAATATGGTGAATGCTATTAGATAGACTTCAACTGCTGTAGTTTAGACTATATCAGATTCATTCTGATCCAAATTACATGTGCATATATTGTTCTTCATTTCAAATTAATTTTTAGGAGAAACTAGATGCAATTCACCTTAACAAAACAATGCACTGATAAGAAATACAATCCATAAAGTGAGAGGGAGTGAGGGCAGTTGAGCCCTTCCCAGCACCTTCTCAAGAGGAAGTACTGATGATTTTTTCAAGCTGTATGTCTTCCGTCAGTCTTACGGTGTGCTATGTCTTTTATCCCCAAACAGGCAGCAAGGGAAGAGTCTCCAAGTATTCAGAATTAACAAACTGAGCATAAAACCAGAGTTCTGTATAGAGAGAAGATAAAATGCAGGAAT